TAATAATAATAATAATAATAATAATACACTAGAGTGGGCTATAATCCTTCCCATTTTTAAAGCCAAGTGTGGGAACACATGCTTGCACACAACCATACCAAAGAGAGAGAGAAACGGAGAGACTGACAGATCTGAGGGGCAACTTGCCCAAGACCACCCAGGAATGAACTGTAGAAGTATGACTCCAACTCAGACCTTCTAGGCCAATTCTTCTTCTTCTTCTTTTTTTTTTCTTAAATTGTGATTTGGGTGAAGATTTACAGAGCAAATTCACTTTCCATACAGCACTTCACATATACTTTGTCTCATGTCATGACCATAGTTTACCAAAATGCAACAGCTCCCCTACCATTCCTCCCCATCCTGGATAGAGTGGGAGAACAATGTGGAACAAAACTCAGAATCATAAAAAAGACCAGGTTTACTGTTCTGGCTCCAAGTCTATGGTCGTTAGTTACCCTTCGGGTCTGGAACTGAACTCACTCCCGTAGCTTCTAGCCAAACAACAGAAAGGCATATAGGGTGAACATTTACACCAGGTAGATGATCAGTCACGAAGAGAACAGAAAGGCAGTATTTGCAAAATACTTGGGACAGGAATACATAGGAAAGAAGGACACGGGAAGAGGTAACTAGAGAGAGGAAGTGGGAAAAGAGCTGTTACATTGTGCAGAATTGCAGTCAGTGTCATGAAACAAAATGTATACAACTTGCTGTATGGAAATTAATTTGCTCGGTAAATTTTCACCTAAATCACAATAAAAATTTTAAAAATAATAATAATGAAGCTTCACCAATCAATCCATGAAGCAACTACTTCTGAACAAGGCGATTAATTAGATTAGGACACAGAGAGCAATTCATAAGTAGCACCTAGCACAGAGGGGAGACCATGTGTCCACAGCCAGGCCTCATCCAGCACAGCAGCCCACAGGTAGACCTGGTTCTAAACTCCTTACAGGGCTGATCAAAGCATCTCTATGAATAAAGGAATAACCACTTAAACACTTCTCTCAATGTCCTAGAAATGGTGAAGAGAAAGGTAAATTTTCCAAAAGTTCTATATAACCAGGAATCTTTGCAGGGGAGAGAAATTTCATCAGAATCATGACTATGAAGGTCTTCAAAATCTAAGCCCTTCACAGTGCCATACCACTATAGGCTGGCTGCCCAGAGCTAGTTCTTCCAACCACAGACAAAGAACTGGACAGTGCTTTTGGTAAGGTAATTCCCACAGGCAATGGTGTCTGACTCACCTTCAGAAATTAGCAGGTGACTCCCCTCCAAGCTAAATACCTTCCTGTTTCTGGTTTCAAAGCATAAGTGTAGTGTTTCATTGCCAGGGATCTAACACACTGAGCTTTTAAAATTGATCAAAATAGTGGATCTTCATAAGCAGAACATCTATCACTGGGGGGCAAATTTAAAATAAAAGAAACATAAAAGGAAGAGAAAAATCTTCTTTGAATTTCCTGGACTCACCTTAAAGCCCCCATGGCAATCTCAAAGGAAGTTGGCAGGAATCAACTGAAAAAATAATAGCCTATTCAGAAACAAACATTTTCAACTAACTCCAGTCACCTCTGTTCCTGCCTTTTCTGGGTTTCTGTTCTATCTACCTTTGGCCATTGCCATGATTTAAAAGGTCTTCTAGAATGACCTGGAAAAGAGATTCAGACAAGCCCCCAATTCTTTTAATAGCCACAGATAATACAACCTACATTCTACAAGGTAAGTAATAACCTAAAGAAACAACCTCATGCCACTTACTAAAGCAAAAAAGCAGTGTTTCTCTATCAAGCCCAATTTTTTATTTTTTAAAGCAACCTGCCACTGGAAAAGACCACTAATAATAAAATATATTATGCAGTTAAAGATGCCCTTCTTAACACAGGCTCAGTTTGAACTGAGCTCCCAATCTTTCTTCTGCCTCCATGAGGTTTACATGCACAACCCACTTCTATCAGTGAAATTTATTAAATAATAATACACTGTTGTTGTTGTTGTTATTTGCTGTCGAGTCAGCCCTGACTCACAGCGACCCCTCCTTGGGTTTTCGAGGCAGTGTCACTACAGAAGTAGGATTGCCCAACCTTTCTTCCGAGGAGTGTCTG